GGGGGGGCTGCTTTCCACACCAGCAGCCTCCCTGGTTCCCTCTCAGCACCCCGATTGTGCATCGCCGTTTGGGCCAGAGGGTGTTCCAGGCTTCCCAAAAGAGCAGTCACCGTGCCAAACCACACAGCAGCCGGGGGGTAAAAGTCCTTGATATGTTTTGGGCACGCACAGCCAGGAAAAGAAGCGAAATGCTAAGATGGAGTTAAAGAAAACATCCAAAATCTGAGTCCCAAAGAGAAAAAAAAAAAACAAAGAGCTTCGCTAACGTTTCTGGTTTTTAAAGATTGATTTGGAGAATGGCTTTCTAAGAAAAGGGATCATGACCTTGGGAGCCGCTTCTATGAAACAAGAGCCATTGCTTCAGAAAGGAAGATTAATGAGGAATGAGCTGAAACGACAGCAAACACAATGATTATTTAATCTGATTGGGTTTTAGCAGTTATATTTATTGTTTCAGATCGAGGTGCTTTCCTGCAAGAGTTGGAGAGGGAAAGTTAGCAGTTGGACACTTTCTGTCTAGTGACAGTCTGGAGGTGCATCAGCAGGGAAAACAGCAAGGGCTGTGAGGGTTTACCCTATTGGGTTTTTTTAAAGGTAGTGAAGAGCATTCTTTGATTTCAACTAAATGGATGGAGCAAATCTGCAAATAAATTGGGCTGTTTCTTTCCCTCCTGGGCGTAGCAGCAGGAGGCAAATCCCAGTGCCACAACCTAAAATAAGCGTCTGCAAAACAAGTAGTGACTAGAATAATTAATTTTAAAAAGAGGTTGAGCTCTCTGCCCGTCTTTTGGTTTCTCCTTGAAAAACTTCACCTCCTCCAGCCGCAACATCTTCTCCTGTGCCATTAGCCTTCTTGTGTCTGCGACAGCTTGGGAGCTCTCACACAGCTGCCCTTGCAATGCGCTGTCGGGGTTAGGGCAAATCCCAAACAATGTGTAGAGCCTCTCAGTGCCTTTACATTCCTCAGAGATTGGAATATTCTCATAAATGGAAAATGGCATTAATTGAGACAGTGTAACAAGCGCATCTACCCTGCTGATAGATCTGTGCTGTGCTCTCCTGTAGCTTTCACTGCTCTTTCCCTTGGCTGGAAGAGATCCCAGCTGCTTCAAACTCCCCACTTTGCAAAATCAGAGGGGGCGTGGGAAGGTGTGTTTCTTCTGATCCTTCCCACATATGTAGATGTGACCTCACAGAGCTCTTGTTAGACCTGAGGCAGTAGGCAGTGACTGGGGTCATGTCCAAAGCAGGAGCTACTGGCAGGGGATCATTTCTGCCATGTAACTGTTCATGGCAAGCAGGTGTGGGTCCAAACAGCAGGAACTGGGCAATGGGAGCCACATCTTCCACTCATTGCTGGGGCCTCCCACCTCCCTTGGGAACAAAGCCTCCATTTCTCCCTGCTTCTCACTTTTTTTCTACATGTTCCTCTCCTCATGGAGGGGCTTCTCAAGGCGAGGGGCTCCCATGCCAGAGCACCCCTCCATCTGCCACTTTCCTTCAGGTAGTCATGTGTTCAGCCGGTGCATGCACAACACTGTAGACAAAGGGCAAAGCTGATGCCGTTTCAGGAGGTTTAGCCTGGTTTGTAACGCACTGACGCGGGGGAGGCCTGTCTTCGGGCAAGCACTCCATTTGAGCCAGTGTGAGTGAGCAGATGCAGCTCTGGGGTGGGCACTCCTCTCCACCTCCTTCCATCACACCTGAAGGGAAATGCTTGGCCCTCCCAAGCAGCCGAACCCCGCGACGTGGCAGCAGGGAGCAGACGGTGTGTACAGGGCCTGTCGTGTCCCAGGGAGGCTGTGCGTGGTGGAGGCGCGGCAGTAACCCAGCCTGGGGCGGGTTCCACACTTCTCGTGGGGTTGTTTATCCCTTCTGAGACGGGAGAAAATAATACTAATAACAACATTTTTAAAAAGAGGGAGGGAAGCGACACAACGTCTCCATGGTAACGGGGGCGCCGCAGCGCCTCGCGTTGCCACGGCAACGCCCCAGGCCTTCCGGCGGCGGCCGGAAGTGGGGCGGCGCGCACAGCATGGCGGCGGGGTGGGGA